TATGTAAAGTATCATATCATCAGAAAATAATGACACTTTAACTTCTTCGTTTCCTATCTTTATTCATTTTGTGTCTTTCTCTTTTCTAGTTCCTGTGGTTAATGTTTCCAGAACTATATTGAACAGGAGTGGTGATAGTGGGCATTCTTCTCTTGTTCCTGATTTTAGTGTGAAAGATTTCAGTTTTTGACCATTTAGTATGATATTGGCTGTTGGTTTTTCATAGATAGCCTTAAGTGTTATATGTTACCTCTGTGTTTTTCATAAATGCTCCTTATCAGATTAAGATAGTTTCGTTTTATTCCTAATTTGTTGAATTTTAAAAATTATGAAACAGCCATATGTGGTATTGCATGCCTATAATCTCAGCACTTGGGAGGCTGAGACAGAGAATTGTTGAGTTCAAGGCCAGCCTGGACTACATAATGAGACCTTGTCTCAAAAAAATATGTGAAACAATGTAGAATTTTTGAAAACGCATTTTCCACATCAAGGTGACATGTGATTTTTTTCCCATTCATTTTGTTCTTGTGTATTAAATTGATTATTTTGATGTGAACAATCCTTGTGTTCTAGGAATAAATCCCACTTGGTGACAGTTTTACTATTTTTTTCTTTTTGCTACAGCAGCATGTTATTCATTCAGTGTCCTTAATTACATTCACAATTTTTTTTTTTGGAACCAGGGATCGAACTCGGGTCCTTGTGCTTGCGCAGTAGGCGGCGAAACCACTGAGCTAAATCCCCAGCCCCATTCACAATGTTGTATAACCATCACCACTGTCTTCCAAATCTTTTCATCATTTCAGAGTCTGTTTTTATTAACAGACTGTTTTCATTAACAGACTCTTTTCATTAACAATAACGCCTTACTTCTTTTAGGTCCTCATAATGTCTCTACTTTCAGTCTCTATGAATTTCTCTATTTTACATAGAATCGTATAATCATATTCTCCTTTAGTGGTTGGCTTTTTTCATTTAGCATATTTTCAGGTTCATCCATGTTGTAACATGTGTTAGAATTTCCTCTCTTTTTATGGCTAATACTCCGTTGTATGTATGTACTACATTTTGTTTATCCGTTCATCTATTGATGGACATTTGGGTGATTTCTGCCTTTTGAGAATCATTGGTACACACATCCCTACTTGAGTCCCTGCCTTTAGTTCTAAGAATGTACCTAGGGATAGAATTGCGGGTAATGTGACCATTCTATGGTAATTTATTTTATTTTAATTTTTTTGTGGTACCGGGGATCAAACTTGGGTCCTTGCGCTTGCACAGCAGGCGGCGAAACCACTGAGCTAAATCCCCGGCCCCTATGGTAATTTATATTATAATTCTGTGTTTAACTTTTTGAGGGACATGTTCAATTTTGAGTTAATTTTTGTACATGGTGTGAGGAATGCTGTAATAACTTGGAAACATCTCTTCACTCAGAGTGAAGATAAATGTTTTTCCCAGGAGAAACCCATCATCATTGGCCCCTTGAAGTTACCTGATGTTCCAAAAGACCACCCTAGCAAACCAGACATGAGCAATACCGCAGAGTCACTAGCTACCATCAGTAGGGTAAATATTGATATCTTACCTGCAGAAAGGAGGGATTCAGTGAACAGTGACTTAGTTCAGAAGATTCATCCAGGACACTTAGATGCCTCTAATGAGCTGGAAGATAAATGCAACGTTTCCCAAGTGAAAGACGAGAGTCTGCAGGTTGACAGTGCCCAGCCTGAAAACTTGATTCCCACACAGACCTCTGATGATGGTAGTGGGGAAGGGACGGAAGCAGCGAAGCCATTACAGCCTCTGAGCAGAGATCAAAACCCAGAGGACCAGGTGAGTGATATGCAGTAGGACTGGGTTCCAGAGAGAGGGCTGGGATTGTGATTAACAGGGTGGGCATGCTTCAGTTGTTATGTTAGGAAAACCAGTTAGTTATTCTGTACCAGTGTAAACTTAAAAGTATATTTTGATCTCCCAGAAAAAACAAAAAAGTGTACTCAATAATAGTCACTCTCCATTCTTCCTTATCTTTAAACTTGACAGTTGTTCCTGTGCATTTGCTTATTCTGAGTATTTCATACATAGAATCATCCAGCTGATGGCTGTTTATGTCTGGCTTCTTTTACTTAGCAGTATGTTTTCAAGGTTTATCTGTGGTATAGCCTGTACCAGTATTCTTTTTTTTTTTCTTGCCAAACAAAATCCCTTGTATGTATCTGCGATATTTTATGTACCTATTTATCAGCTGATGAACGTTTATCATTTGGTGAACATTCGGATTGTTTCTACTTTTTGGCTATTGCTGACAGTGCTGCTGTGAACATTTGTTACATGTTTTTGTATGGATGTGTGCTTTCATTCTGTTTGGTATGTATCTAGGAATGGAATTGCTCAGTCATATGGTAACTATATTTAGCTTTCTTTTTCTTTTCCTTTTTTTTGTGATACTAGAGATTATATCTAGGGGTGCTCTACACTGAGCTATACCCACAGCCGTTTTTATTTTTTATTTTGAGACAGGGTCTTGCTAAGTTGCCTAGGCTGGCCATGAACTTGCAGTCCTTCTGCCTCAGCCTCCTGAGTAGCTGGTATTACAAGTGCATGTCACTGAACCTGGCTTGTGCTTAACTTTTTTAAAAAAACATTGTGGTACTAGAGATTGAACCTAGGACATTTGCACTGAGCTACATCCTCATGCCTTTTGTATTTTTTATGCTGAGGCAGGATCTTGCTAAATTGCTTAGGCTGGGCTTGAACTTGTGATCCTCCTGTCTCAGCCTCCCAGAGTGCTGGAATGTACCACCATGCCAAGTTATGTTTAATTTTTTGAGGAACTACAAAACTGTTTTCCCTGCTGGGTGTGAAGGTGCACACCTGTAATCCCAGCACTTAGGAGGCTGAGGCCAGAGGATCACTATGAGTTCAAGCCAGCCGGGGCTACATAGTGAATTCAAGCCTGAACTACAAAGCAACACTCTGCTCAAAAAACAAACCCCCCAAAACAAAACTTTTCCCTAAGAAACTGTATAATTTTAATTCCCAGAAGCAATGTTCGAGGGTTCTAGTTTCTCCACATCCTTGCCAACACTTGTCATTGTCCATGTTGAGTGGTGAGAGTAGGCATGCTTGTCTTGTCCCTGATAGGATCTATGTCTTACACTAAGCTTTTATAGCAGGTTTGTTTGGTAGAATTTAACGTCTACCATTTCCTCTATTATTTTGTTATTATTTTCATCTTCATAAAAATGGAATAACTTTTTTCAGCATTTTATTGGATTTCAGGGAGAAGCTCAAGTCCTTTGTTCATGTCACTCTGTACATATGTAAGCTTTATTTTGAATACCCTAAAGTATCACCAGTAGAGAAACATTTGTTTCTGTCTTTGGAGTTGGGTCATTTGTTATTTATTATATGGGTCTCCTTGTTCTAGAGTAGCAATGTTGTAAAATTAATCATTTACTGTGCTCTATTCTATGTCCGATATTAGGTATTCTCTTGAAAGAATAAATTTGTAAATTATTTTTACCTATAATTTTGTGCTTTCTAGAGATGTTAAAATGTTGTCTTAATGATAACGGCTGTCTGAATTGTACCAAATAATACGCTTTTCATAAAAATGTATGATTGTGGCGGGACATTGTGGAGCATGCCTGTAATTCCAGCACTCTGGGAAGCTGAGGCTGGAGGATCATAAATTCAAGCCCAGCCTGGGCAATTTAGGGCCTCAGCAAGACCTCGTCTCAAATTAAAATTTTTAAAAAGGGCTGAGGTATAGCTCAGTGTGAATGCTGAGTTCAATTTCCAGTACCACTGACTATGTAAATAAACAAATAGATAAATCAGTAAATAAAGTATTGATTGAATGATGTTCATTGACCAGTGTCCATCTTGAAAACTTGAATAATCTTGATAGATAAAAAATTTTTTTTAATAAATAGAAGAACCATCTTATGTTAATGTTTTGTGTGCATTGGTTCTAAAACTAGCTATCCTGGTCATTTTTATAACTTAAAAGGTGATTTATTTTATTATTACTGCTGCCACCAGTTGGTCATATTTTTTGAGCATCAGATATGTACCATCGTCCTCATTACTGTGAATGCCCCATTTCAGCTAACCTCAAATCACAGTACAGTTAGCACTGTGTCTATACATTGCACACCTGTGGATTCAACCAGCCACGGAGTAAAAATATTTGGAGAAGGAAAAATTTCATCAGCACTCAACCTGTGCAGACTCTTTCTTTTATCATCACTCCTTAGACAATACAGCATTACAGTTATTTGCATGGCATTTACATTGTTTTAGGCAATATAAGCAATCCAAAGATGATTTAAAGTATACAGGAGAATTTATAATTAAATGCCATTTTGTATAAGAGACTTGAACATCTGTGGGTTTTGGTATCTGGGGGGAGGGGAGTCCTGGAATCTGCCCCCCATGGATACCAAGGCCATACAATGTGTGCCAAGCATTAGGCCCATTTTCAGATGAGGAAATGAACTCAGGAAGATAGGCTTCTGACATATATCGGACTGTACACTCAGTGCTCTTTTTATTGTGCATTTTAGGATGTGTCCAGATAGCTGTTTACTTGGGCAGTATATTAATTTGACGTCATGTAACATTCATTTTCAGAATAGAAAGCCTATTAAAAGTAATGATTTTTAAAAAATGGAATCAAATGGGGCCGGGGATTTAGCTCAGTGGTTTTGCCGCCTGCTGCGCAAGCGCAAGGACCTGAGTTCGATCCCCGGTACCAAAAAACAAAATACAACCAAAAATGGAATCAAATGGAAGTAGTTTCTTCTGCTGTTGTTTTGTTTTTTTAATTTTTGGTGCTGAGCATTGAATCCAGAGCCTCATGCTTGCTAGGCAAACACTCTACCACTGAGCTAAATCCCCAGCCCCAGAAGTAGTTTCAGTTTAATTACAATTTGAGTAATTTGATTGAAAGAATTATTTCTATTTGGGGCAAGAGAAAAAAATCCAGAACAGTTTGTCTGTCAGCACTGCAAATGAACATTCAATCTGAGAAAGAGAACTATTCCTTCCCATTTTCATTTTGCAATCTTAAAAGTAGATATTTGGCCATTTGAAGTTCAAAAGACTATTATTCTGTGGTGGTCTTTGTGTATATTTGTTTCATTTTATTATATTTAAGGAGCAAGTTGCTGGTGAAGGCATTATAGAAAAGCAGGGCAGAATCCAGCCAAGTTTACAACCACACAGCTCTGGATCTGAACCTTCCCTGTCTCGACAGCGACGACAGAAGAAAAGAGAACAGGCTGAGCACAGTGGGGAGAAGAGCTACGTCAGCAGGTGTCTCCTTGCAGTAAGTCATTGTGCTACTATTTGGAAAGCTCGTTTTTCATGTGGAATGATTAATAACTGCCGAGAAGGCACATGAGAAATGCAAGGAACATATAGAGAAGAATGGCAATAAAGTATGTAGTATCAAAAAAAAAAGAAGAAAAAAAAGAATGGCAAGGACAAGAGGCTTAATATTAATTTTCAAATACCAGTGAGTTAGAAATGCAGAGAGGACTTTTACCTTCCCCAGCAAAGACAAATCATTTTGAAAGGAACAGGCTAATGAGGGTAAATCTTTGACCCTCTTAATGTTACATTGGTAAGCAGTTCTTCTCTCATAGTCTGCACAGTTCATCTTATTTGTTTTTTTTTTTTTTTGGTACTGGGGATCGAACTTGGGATCTTGCACTTGTGAGGCAGGCGGTGGAACCACTGAGCTAAATCCCCAGCCCTGCACAGTTCATCTTGATACCGTCTTTCTTAAAGTAACTTCCACAGATACCCTCTCTATAAGCTTCTTATTTGGTCACTCACTTTTGTCAGAGTCTCTTACACACACACAGACACACACACACACACACACAATGTTTTGAAGTTTTAGGGACAAGTTGCTGACATGTACATACAGCTCATGGTAATAGGGGAACTCTGAAGATGGCTGTATATGAAACTGATCATATCCCCCCACCTTCCTTAAAATTAAGTTCCCACAGGCATCCCCTCAACTTTTGCCTTCTCATCCCACTGCTGGAAAAGTGGATTCCACATCAGCACAACAGAATGCTGAATGCCAAAGTAGCACGGTCACTGGGTCTATGGGCAGTCCAAGGAGCAGTGGGATATCATCATCAAAGGTTTGTGAGAGTACATGTTGGGTTTTTACAAATCTGGCAAAGCTTTTTTGGTTGTACAATCCTGTGTGTGTTGTGGGATTTGAACTAACATCTAATAGCCCAGCTTTCTGCCAGACACTGGGAGAGCCAGCTTGGTGATTCTCAGCAGATGCTTAGATTGACATGGACAGATTCTGTTTTTGCACAGATAGTCATTTCCAGTTAACCAAGGAGACAGAGTACATTCTGAATATAAGAAATGAAAAGTTCCCCTTTGCCTTTCCAAGAATGGGTGTCTCCCCAAAACAAGGGCTGTGATCATTCCTCATGAGTAGCTCTCACCTGGGTGTGCATGGGTTTCTAGTGGGCTCTCCTTTAGAGGAAAGTGCAAGGCCTCTTTCTTAGTATTGTATGGTACATCACGCACTGTGTTACAGAAATGGTGAGTAGGAATGGACATGACTCTGTGACTTTCTTTAAAAGGATCGACCATTATCAGCCAGAGAGAGAAGGCGACTAAAGCAGTCACGGGAAGAGATGTTCCCCTCACTCGAAGGTGACCTTGTTTCTTCATCTAATTGACACTCAATGGTTTGGCTCATGAACTTAAACACTGATTTTGATTGTGAAGTGTTGACTTTTAAGGAGTCCATTTGGTTTTTCATAAACAGCCTTAATGAGGTTGAGATAAAGACCGTCTATTCCAATTTTTTGTAGCGTTTTTATCATGAATGGGTGGTGGATTTTGTTGAATGCCTGTTCTGCATCTATTGAGATGATCATATGGTTTTTCTCCTTGACTCTGTTAATATAGTGTATTGCATTTATTGATTTACGAATGTTGAACCATCCTTGCATCCCTGGGATAAATCCGACTTGGTCGGGGTGTATGATCTTATTGATGACCCTCCATATTCTGTTTGCCAGTATCTTGTTGAGGATTTTTGCATCTATGTTCATTAGGGAGATTGGCCTGTAGTTCTCTTTTTGGGTTGGGTCTTTCCCTGGTTTT